AATCATTGTTGAAATACAATACAATATTGAAACACATTTTGATTTTGATGCCAAAGGTATAAAAGTATTTTGCTCATTTACTGACAATTTTATGTAACCACTAATTTCATTTTTTAAATCTAAACTTATTATTTTGTCACTATTATTTCTGGAAGCATTATCTTCATCGTCAAATGATAACTTAAATTTTTTTGATTTAAATGTCACCTTTTTAACTGGAATTGTATTAAAAACTTTTTTTGTCAAATGAAATTCCGACAAATATTCTTTAACGCATTATAAATTTGTTTTTTTTTTCTCGTACTTTTCAAAGATTTATAAACTTTTATAATTTGGATCCAAAAAAGTGGCACATAACAAAAACGAATTATACTGTATATAATAACAAAAAAGAAATATACTGTAGCTTACAGGGCCAGCACAAGTAGGTAACACCTAGAGAGCGCCGTTAAAATTTTAGCTGACTAGAAAAAGGAAAGAAAATTCCTTGTTTTTTTAAATTTACCAAGTGACTGTTCTGAAAATCTACATTTGCCGACTTACTTATCTAAAAGAGTCATATTGGCTTACTAAATTAGCTAAAGGTTCATTTATAGGATGTCACACGCAAAACCAACCACCCCATTCCTTCACCCCTTTGCACTTGGTAGCTTATTTAATTGTAAAGGTATTTGTGTTTTACAATGTTTACTTTTTGGACTTTTATGAAATGTTTTCTTGAAATATCTCGTTAAACTTTTGGCATTGAAAATTAAAAAAAAATTATTATGGTATTTTTTTATTTTTGCGGTATTATGCGGCAAAATGGTTATGCTTTAGCAAACTTATTCAAAAATTCTAATAGAAATGATATGATGAACCCAAACAATTTATATCATTTATTTATAAATTTCTTTAGTTGGACTAAAAACAAAATCATGTATATTTAGTTAACTAAAAACTTAGTCGGTTAATTTTAGTCAACTAAAAACTTAGTCGGTTAATTTTAGTTAGATAAAAAATTAGTCGGGTAAATTTAGTTAGCTAAAAAGTTAGTCGGGTAATTTTAGTTAACTAGAAAATTAGTCGGGTAATTTTAGTTAACTAAAAAGTTAGTCGACTAATTTTAGTTAGCTAAAAAATTAGTCACTGACTTTAGTTAACTAAAAAGTTAATCGACTGGTTTTATTTAGCTAAAAAGTTAGTCGGGTAATTTTAGTTAACTAGAAAATTAATCGGGTAATTTTAGTTAACTAAAGAGTTAGTCGACTAATTTTAGTCAGCTAAAAAATTAGTCACTGACTTTAGTTAACTAAAAAGTTAATCGACTGGTTTTAGTTAGCTAAAAAGTTAGTCGACTAATTTTAGTTACGGTTTTTTTAGTTTCGTTTGTTTCAATATTTATATATATATATATATATATATATATATATATATATATATATATATATATATATATATATATATATATATATATATATATATATATATATATATATATATATATATATATATATATATATATATATATATATATATATATATATATATATATATATATATAAAATTTTATTATGGCACGTTTTGTATGTTTGTTTTTGTTAAGAACTCTTTCGTATGTTGTGGTGCAAAATAGCTTCGTTTCGAGGGAAACATTGTTTTCTATCATTATTTATAAAAATAAAAACATAAAAATTTAATTTGTTATTATACTGAAAATAAAAAAATCATTATAAACAATATGGGATTTAAGGATGTTAATTTTCACAAATAAAATCAGTCTGTCAAACAAACTTTTATTATAGACTTCAAAACGTCGTTTCGCAAAAGTGCTTTTTTCGCAAGTGCGACTTCCGAAACCACTACTTTTGTATGTATCAAAATAGTTTGGTTTTGTATGTCAACTTGCGAAAGGTTAAATTTCAGAAGTATTATTTTCAAAATGAACATCTGCGATTTTAAATGTTTTGCAATCTTCGTTACGAAGAAAATGTAATTCTTCGTTTTCAATCTCCTTACGAAAGAATGTTGTTTTTCCGAAATTGTACAAAATCCTCCGCCTAACAACCCTATATTCTAACTCCCTTTTTTAATCCTATAACTCAAAAACTTTATTATTTGCAAATTAGCATTTTGCACTTAAGCCAATTTGCACATATGGCAATGTTTGCAGGTTTATTCGGTGCAATAATGCCAATTCTTACTTATGACAGTTCGCACTAATTCTAGTTTTGCAACTTCATCGCACTTATGCTAATTTACTCTTAATCCAATGCTTTCAAATTTATTTGGCATACTTATGTTAAATAAATACTTAGGTTGCACTTATATCAGTATGTACTTGTATCAGGTTTTGCAACTGATTCGAAATAATGACAGTTTGCACTTATGCAAGTTACCACTTACGCTAGTTCGCACTTACATAATTCACGCTTTATGCCAGTTTGCACTTATGAAATCTGCGCTTATTCAGTTGTCCCACTAATCAGTTGAAAGCGACAGATATTTTATAAACGAGTATTTCGAAAAATATTTGTTAACCGAATACGAATGTTCGTTCGTTTTCGTTTTAATCATTAAATTAATATTGAGAAAAAACAACCGTTCAACAAATTTATGTTTTAAAAATATTCGTTAATCATCTAAATTTGTTACCGCTTACATATTTTGAAACCTTATACAAGCTCAGAATGAATAGGCAGAAATATAAGCAATTGGTTTTAAAAGTGAGGCAAGTGTTCTTTTATTAAAAATATCCTTGAATTGATTATTTCGAAAACCTCTTAAATCAATCAATTAGAGTATTTAAGAAATTAATAAAAACTGTTTGATGCACAAACAAATGAGTTTTAAAGGACTTTTTAATGCTTAAATTAGTATTTGAGTGGTAAAAAATTTAAATAGCGAAAAACCTTTTATTAATAAAAGAAATGAAAATAACCTGAAAAATTGTTCTTTACTTAAGCTGCTTTTGCTAGAAATGGGGTAAGAGGGAAATAAATTTACCAAAACAATTGTAGTAATTGTATATTTTTTTTGCTTAATAATGAAAATTACACTTATAAAAACCTTGCTAACATTTTACATGTATTAATTTGTCATGTTTTAATATCTTTAAGGAACATAGTCATATTCTCCATCAATCTTATCTGGATTATTTTCAAGATTTGCATTTGGCTGCCAAAAATGTTGTTATAAAATGGCATTGGGTTTTACAGAATGTTATCCTGAAATTGCTTTATATCGTCATTTTTTATCGATAGGTAATTTAAAATCATTAGCATTGGCTGATGGAATTGAAACAGAAATTGTAAGTTTTTTTATAAATAAAAATGATTGTTTCATCAATCCATCAATATATTTTTCGACTATGACAGTACTATTTCTATCTGAATCATACAGAAAACTCATGTAAATCAATGGTACGAATGATTTTTACTGTTCACTGGGTTTTTTTTTCATAAGATTCAGTTGACAAAAATATTTTTTTGTACAAAAATGACCACTATTTTTTAAATTTTGAAACACCTTCAGTTTTTAGCTCTATAACTTTAAATTTTGAGCTGGAGCTTGAAACCAAGTTAATGCATTATCCTGGAACGTAGATACGATCATGCTTTCAAACATTTTTTTATGACTACAAAATCACGGTCATTTGATAAAAACGAATGACCACTTATGAGAAAATACTGATAAACTTTTTCAAACCTTTTAGAATCAGTAAAAGCCAAAATTAATCTCAACAATGTAATATTTCTATTTTTACCGTAGCTACCATCCGAAAATAGACATAAATGCTTAATATGTTGCCCAGTAATAATTTTTATATTATGCATCAACATTAAACAAACCTCGTTGGCTCCTTTGTTAGCAATGCCATTGTGATACAATGTATCACGAAGGCATTGCTGACAAAGAAATTTAAATAAAGTTTATCTGGTGATTAACATTTTATCTGTTGTTAATTTAAAAAAATGGAAAAAGAATACATGCTTTAAAGTAAATTTGAAAAAATCTATGTGTTTTTCGTAAAACATATTGTCCTAGGCCTTTAAGCATACTCAAATACAAAGTTTATATGCAGTTGTATCAGCCTACTAGTGAACGTATGCAGTTTTAGCAGACTACTGATAAAGAAATTTATTTATACTTGTTAATTATAAAGAGTTGAACATTAGAGTTTTTTTCAAAAAGAAAATTTGTATTTATTACAAAACGAGCTTACATTTTCCATGTGAGTTTATGAATTCTGAGGAGGTTTTGTTTTCACATTTTGTTTCAACCTTAGTTTTGATGAAACTAATATGTCTTTTATTACATAACTCTAATAAAACATTATCCTTAACCCATTAAGCATTTTGTAAAACTTTAAAAAGTTTGACAGGACTTGATATTAGTTGGATATTAATACTCTATTTAAAAATTTAACAAAAGAAATGAAATTTATGTTTTTCTATTGAACAGTATTTTTTTGAACAGTTACATATAAACACTGACATTGCAAGCAAAAAAAGTATTGATGGATCAAGTTATTAAAAAAATACAAATATTTGTGTCACTTTTTTGTCTTGTAATACAAAAAGTTATTTTAAAAAACCAAACTAATTGGTAAAAGTTAAATAAATTTAAGGAAAAAGAGTAAAAAAGAAAAATAAAATTATTAGAAAACAGAACTAAGTCAGTTGTAATGCTATGTATTAAGTTATAAGTGAGAAGTGGTTTTCAACATTAAGTTTATTAATGATGATTCATGCAAAAATTTTTAAGGTGTTATGCAAAATACTATTTTAAAAAATTGTTATTTTTTTACATAGAAAATAAAAAATGTTAACGCAACCATATTGGTTTAATTTACGCAAAGCCTTGTCAATTTATACTTAACACTGGGTCAATATTGGGTTTTAAAGTTAATTGAAAATATTAAATCAAAGTTAAAAAAAAACAGATATGGAAATGCGAAAAATGTTGACCCAAACAAGGGTGAATATTTTTGTGGATTTTTAATTATAATAAAAAATTACCTCCAATAATAAGTGTATTAGCAATTTTAGTAACGTCCGACATATACAAGGTGGCTTTGTCACTTAAGCCTCTGTAAAATGAGTAGGTGTCTGCTTTAGGCGCTAAAATAAAAATGAAAAAAAATGTTTTTAAGCTTTAAAAAAGGTATTGTTAGCCTATAATTGTTTTATATAAAACCTTTATACTTTTTACGATATACTAATATAATAAACAGGTAGCAAAGTTAAATTTTTTTCTGTTGCAAAAAGTATCTTGAGGTTTCATATTTTTTTAATATTTGTTCAAAAATACTCAATAGTATACCATACAGTTTATATTAAAGGTTTTTGGTTAACCCTTTTTACCCGATTTATGAAATTAAAAAAAAAAAGTTTAAAACAACGTTCAACATTTTCAAAAAACAGTTACGTTATCGGCGGGTTCATTTTTAAATTACACATTTTCCCATCTATTGGAAAGTAGCAAAACTTAAGCATTACTTACAATTAAAAAAAAAGATAAAACAGGGTTTGATTTTTGAATTTAAAGTTTGTGTTTTCAAATGACAACATTGAAAAAGAAAGGGTTAAAAGATTTTCTCTTTGTCATTCTTTTACATTAAATTGAAAAAAGATATTTTACGAAAAGAGCTTTAATTGCTAAGGTGGTACCCAGCCATTATTTCTGTTTTTTTATATATTTTACACATAATAAATAAATACATGATATGAATTACTAGCATAATAGATGAAAATCTAAAACGTATTACAAATATTTTTTTAATTTAAAAAAGAAAATGCTGCAAAAAAAGGTCAAAGGTTAACGTCCCAAGAACATAAATATCTTAAGATTACGTCAATATTAAAAGTTAAAATTTTGAAAAATGTTCGTATGTTAGTGTAGCTTGTGCCTGAACTAAAGTTTTTAAAATTTTAAACGATCGAAAACGGCAGATTTAATAGTATAAAAACTATTTTTAGCGATAAAACATTCATTTGATATGGTAATTGTAGGCTAAGTTTAACTTTTTTTTAAGTTTTATTTTAGGTTCAGGCACTAAACACTTTAATAATGAGCATATCCTGAAAATTTGAAGTTAAATTAGGGTTGTTCGGTGAAAAACAAAACTTCTGAAAATTTTGCATCTTTATCTACCGTAATAAAATTGTTATTGCAAAAGTTGCACATGCGAAAATGCACATTCCGTAACGCACTATTCAAAAATGTAAATAAATAAAATTACGTAATAAAGCATTGCAAAAGAAAACTTGCGAAACAAATCATTTCGTAAAAATACTTACGAAATAGTTTGTTACAGAAGGAGCATTCCGGAATGTGCAGTTGCAAAAAAGAGGCAAAAGGTTTTATGTTACGATATATTTAAGATATTAACTGTTAACAGTTTAAATAATAAATAATAAAATTATAAAAAAAGGCTGTCAAATATATATATGTATATATATATATATATATATATATTTATATATATATATATATATATATATATATATATATATATATATATATATATATATATATATATATATATATATATATATATATATGTATATATATATATATATATATATATATATATATATATATATATATATATATATATATATATATATATATATATATATATATATATATATATATATATATTAGCACCGTTGTGGCTTCGAAATCCAACTTCAAAGTTTTCAATATTTCTAGTGTTCTAGCAGTGATTTCTCTTCCAGTTTTTTTTAAAAAATTTTCGAATAAAATAAATCTTTCTTCAATTGAAAAGTTTGAATTATCTAAAATTTTAACATAACGAATAACCAGAGTAGTTTGCTCCTTATACGAGCAATCTGGAGCATCAACTAATATTGAAAAAGATTTTGCTTTCACAATTTCGTGGAGGATTGCTGTTTGAACGTGTGAACCACAAGTATCAATAAATTCGTTCTGAGTTCGCATTGAAAGGTAATGAGCTTACATTCGCTGCTTACACTGTTGTGATTCTCGGACATGTTTAACATGCTAAGCTAAAAGTGGGTAATATTTGCTAAGAAGCTCAATAATACCTAAAAAGTCTCCATTTGCTCGATCACCTATTCGTTGGTTAGAACTAAAAAGTGCTTATCCACGTTCAGAAAGAAGAATAATAACATCTAGAATACGTTTGAATAGTTTTTTCCAATTTTCAATTTCAGTCTTGAGGTCTGTTAAAAGTAAATTATCCACTGAAGTTTCACATAATGCTGCTCTACTAGCAGATTTCCATGCAACATAGTTTTCTTTATGGTAAATTGAACTTTCGTGCGACGAAATACGATCTTTCAATCTTCTCCAACCTCTACTGATGCCCCATCCGGCAGAACTAGAAAAAAATGACACATTTGCAGCATTTTTGTTAAAAAGAAAACATGGTGCACAATACAAAGATTGTTTTTCAATACTCCAGCACAACCAGTCTATTTTGCATGTTTCTCCATTTGCAAGAGTTTTGTTTAAGAAACGATAAGGAAATGCATGATGACTAGAGTCTTTAACAATATTATTTGGAATTTCAAAACAAGCAATTTTAAGAAAAGAGTTCACTTGAAAAGAATTGTTCTTGTTGGTAATCCCAATGCCAATAAAATTGAACGAATTTCACCTGCATTTCCCTGTAATGAGATTTCGGTTTCAATTCGTTCCTGGTTTATAATATTTGAATTTCCTGCTGGTTGTTGTTCCAAAATTAGGTCTTCTACAATTAGAACAACTATATTTTCAATGTTACCATTGTCACTCAAACTTTGAGTTTGGTTTGCTTGTTCAACTTGAACTGTGTAATTTTTTTAAAAACGAGTATATTTTCTTTGAGTTGGTGCATGCTTCTTCGGCCAATTCTTTTCTCCGTCGCCTTTTACTTGCACCACTATCAGATCTTCTCTTCATTTAAATGGTATCTGGAAATAATATTGAAATTTAAAAATATAATAAATTTATATATCTATCAAACTTATACAAATTTATAAAACGAATTATGTTTTAAAATTAAAAAATATTTACCAGAACAAAAAAAATATTACTATTCTCAAAGTTACGAAATGAAACGTACAAAACGCAATGTACAAAGCGCAATAGATTAATTTTATTCAAAATGATAAGAAACAGTTCAAAACAAATTGATTTAATCTTGTTTGATAAATTACAACTAAAAAGTTTAAGAAAAAATGAAGCTGCTAAAAAGCAGAACACAAAGTCATAACTTAAAAATTCGTACGGGTTAAAAGTAATTGTATCAATTTGATCAAGAGCGCCCGACGGAGGGTTAATTGCATCATTACATGACGTAATCTTTATCATATCAAATTTAGGTTCAGAAATGTGTAATTATAAAAAAGAAAATAATGATGAACCACAATCATCAGGCAAGTAGTCTTATGTTAATTTTGCTACAACGTGTTTAGAAAAAATTTACGGTTTATATTAGTATTTCAGAACGTTATGGGACGGAAACTGTTTAGTAGTTAAGGTTAATGTTATTATTAATTTGTTATATGCCGGCATAAAAACAAATTTCTTCTTGCCCAATTTGACACTGGCAATTAGCAGTTTTACAACTATGCTTCTTTTTTATTCGTTTTTTTTCTCGTTTTGTTTTGACGTCGGAACTCATTCTACTGTTGTTTTTGTTATTTGTATTTTTTAACGGTTTTTTCTTGATTTGTATAATATATATGGCTGAAGATTGCCGATAGGCATAAAACTTTTAGTTCCATTATAAAGTTGTATTTTTCTATTTAATTACACTTTATATATATATATATATATATATATATATATATATATATATATATATATATATATATATATATTGATCTATTTTGTAAAAATTATTTTTACATTATATTAATCACTCTCAAGTAAACAAGAGGATTTGTATCTTAACCAGATACAATATTAAACAATAATATATATATATATATATATATATATATATATAATATATATATATATATATATATATATATATAAGAGAGAGAGAGAGAGAGAGAGAGAGAGAGAGAGAGAGAGAAAGGAAGACGGGGCAACATGGCGAACGTTTCGGAAATCTTTGTTTCCTGCAAGACTACCAGTCATAGCTCACTAATATATTGTCAGTATCTATTTGATACCCTAATCTTTTAATATTCGACAAGGTGTTTAGTTAATTTTAACAAAATCATACCCAAATAAACAAAATAAAAAAGTCTTTAAGTTTTTTATCTTGCCCCGATAGTGGGGCAAGATGACTGAAACTGCTTTTTCAATTCACAAACAATTAGACATTGGAAAATGTAACTCAATTAACTCCAAAACAAAGTCAGATTGCTCATTCTTTATCTAGTTGGAGTAGCTGTACCCATTGCACCTAATAATATTTAACGCCCTATAAATATGCCAATAATTTACTGCAGTTTAAAACTGAATACACTTGAAATAAAGTTGACCAACCCTACACAATATAGCCAAGTCACTAAATAACAGCAGTTTTAAATCTCATAACATGAAAATAACGGAAAAAAACACATACTGAAACTTTTTAGTCCCTGTGTAATAAGTCTACGGAATTGAAGTATAATAAAGAAACAACTAAAAAACCTACGAATCTACTAACTAAAAGGATCCTACCAACATCAGGTATAGCTGTAACACTTAAAGAAATAAAAAAAAACCAAGAAAAAACAGTAATTGATATTATTAGTGCAAATACAAAAATATTAAACGAACGATTGGATAAATTTGAGAAAAATATCGCTCAAAATGCAAACAAGATTAAAAAAATTGAAATAGAGCTTGATGATATAAAAGAAAGTTTAAACTTCAACGAACACGTAATTGATAAAAAGATTGAAAGTAACAACAAACATTTTTTAAACAAAATCGACATCAACAAACAATTAGAGAAAGAAAGAACTAATAACGAATTTCTAAACGAAAAAATCCGTAACCTCGAAGATAGATCGCGGAGAAATAACTTGAGAATTGAGGGAATATTTGAAGACGAAATAGAATCTTGGGACAAAACCGAAGAAAAAGTTCATTCATTTTTTCTACAAAAACTGGGTATAAAGAGTATTGAAATTGAACGAGCACATTGCAC